CCTGCCGCTGGCACTAAGAGCAGTGCTTAATACACTGCTTCACTTCCCAGACACTACGTCCCACCATAAAGCATAAAAGCTGCTTTGTATTACCTTTCTATTTCCACCAAGCTCATTACAGGAACCAAAGGAACTTCTTCACCAGCACTGAAGCCTGTTCTCCTACACCACCAGTACTTAAAGTTAGAGCTCCTTTTTTTTTTTTATTCTTCAAATGCTCTTGATAAACAGTAGCAGAGCATGTGAAGAAATACTAGCTCCGATCTTGGCAGTTCAGTCAAAAAAGGCATTTATACTTCCGTGCTCATTTGGAAGCTTTAAAGAGCACATAGAATTTTTTCAAAAGCAACATTCCTTACTTTCAAACAAATATGTTTTGTCTCTGCCCTGGCTGATGAGGTGGCTCCTGTTATCTATTGTGTGTTTAAGTGCACACGTGCTTTCTTCAAGCTTAGCGCTTGATACAAGTCCAAAAACCTGAGTGAAGCTGAAATACTGCAAGCCATAAATCGAGGGCCAAATCCCACAGTCCTTACGCTTCAGTCCAAATTCACAGCCCTATAGTGGGAAGCATCGCAAGATTTAAGCTGTATGTTCTACGGTACTTGGTGACCTTACCAAAGAGGAATTTAAGATGAAAAAATCCTACCCTGGAAAAAGCATGATTTATGAAGAGTGAAGTAGGCAGGGTTCCTCCTAGTGATCACTGCTACTTGGAGGCTTGTTCCCAGGACTCTTGATCCCTCGGCTATACTAATTTCATTTGGAGACTAACAACTATCAAGTTCCTGGCTTGGACTAAAGCTCTGGAGTAGCCCAAAAGCTCCAGAGTTTGGCAAAGGAGATGAGATTCCAGACATCCAAGTAACAACACTCAACAGAAGTCTCACGCCTGCTCATGTCGCGTTTTACTACCTTAGACTTCACCAGATTGGACAGATCAGCTCCGCGGTCTCACAAGTCAACTGGTATTTTTATTTTTTTTCTCTAAAGGTCTCAACAGCTAGCAAATGAGCTGATCTCTAACTTAAGCAAGAAGCAAGCATGGACGCAGCAATCCCATTCAGGGAGGTGATTCTGCCCATCTGCTCTGCGCTTCTGAGACCACACCTGGAATACTGCCTCCAGCTCTGGAGCCCCCAACATGGGAAAGACATGGACCTGTTGGAGCAGGTTCAGAGAAGGCCACGAAGATGCTCCAAGGGCTGGAGCCCCTCTGCTGGGAGGACAGGCTGGGAGAGTTGGGGGGGTTCAGCCTGGAGAAGAGAAGGCTCTGAGGAGACCTTAGAGCCCCTTCCAGTGCCTAAAGGGGCTCCAGGAGAGCTGGGGAGGGACTTTTTACAAAGGCGGGTAGTGATAGGACAAGGGGGAATGGTTTCAAACTGTAAGAAAGGAGATTTAGATTAGATATCAGGAAGAAATTTTTCCCTGTGCAGGTGGTGATCCCCTGGGGCAGGTTGCCCCGAGAAGCTGTGGCTGCCCTATCCCTGGAGGTGTTCAAGGCCAGGTTGGACGGGGCTTGGAGCAACCTGGGCTGGTGGGAGGGGTCCCTGCCCAGGGCAGGGGGGTGGAACGCAATGATCTTCAAGGACCCTTCCAACCTAAACCATTCTATGATTCTCCTTTCATGTATTAATCACTTCTGAAACTGCCCACTGCAACACAAGCAGCTCCGGTTAGATTAACATTGATCACTGCATTCTTGCGTGGGAAAGAAGAGTGTCACGTTTGATACACTTCGCTTCGGAAAGAATTCTGGCATTCTGTTCCCTTACTTTATTTAAATAGGAAAAAAACCTCCCGTGTTCCTGTTAGTTAAGTTCAAGAACTGTTAGTTAAGCTTTCCCTGACAGCAAGGTAAATGCAGCTCCTCCAAGCACAACCAAGTAAAAAGTTGCTACAAAAAAAATTATAATCTAAGCACATTAAGAGATCTCAAAGCAAATCTGACACTGCTGTGTGAAGAAAAGGTTCTCACCTTCATCTAACTCCAGAATTATAAAAACAAGTCTCTACTTTTTGTTAAGTTCAAACAACTCTTCTCACACACAGTTCGATGCAGAATTACTGAATAATTGTTCGCCCCAGAACCGAAGAAACAGGAAGTTCATGTGTGCTTAGAGATCTCCGCAGAAACGGATTTTAACACAACAATGGGTGCTTGGAAATTCGCTTAAGGGGAATTTTGTCTTCATCAATTTTATTTGCTTTTCTCACCAGAGCACTCAGAACACATTCAGTCATATGTTTAGAGCTGCCATGGCCTTCACCAAGGTGACGTGGTTGGTTGAGTCCGTGTCTCTCCTGCTGCTATCCGCACAGTTATCCTTGTTGGCCAAGACCTTTTGTCGGTGCCTTTCTTCCTGCCGCTTCTTCTTCTCTAGCCGCTGCTGTTCCTTCTTTTGTTTTTTACATACCTGAAAGGGAAGGATGAAAACACAAAGTTGAAACACGCATATTTTCTGCTCAGTTGGGGAAAAATAATACACTGGAAAGGAGACAAGCAGATATCAAAGCAGATGCCAGAGAATGTTTATTCCAAATGACTTATCAGGACTTTATTTTGTGTCATTTTGGGAAGAGTGCCACATGTCACTAATAAGTGTTTGTATCAGAGAAGTCACAGCTGTAGCAACAACACAATCCAGTAAGCAGGAGCTCTTCTTAATTCAAAGGAGAAGGCAGTTGCTGATGAAACAATCCTAAGCTTTCCCCTAACCATTAAAGGACATGTAAATCACTACCAAACCACCCTTCACATACCTTTGCGTTTCTGCTAGCTCGATTCTCTTCATTGGATCTAGCTTGGCCTTTGTTGTTTTCTTTTTCATCTTGATGCAAGCTCTGATTTCCACAGATTCTTGAACCAGTTCCATTTTCTTTCTGCAGAGTTCTGCTACACGATTTCTGATCTTTTCTCTGGGGATCACACTGCTCCTCAGCACCTACCAACAATAGAGGTTTTTCTCAGGCACACTCTACCCAGCAGCTGGCTCAGCGTCAGCCAATTCCTTCTTCCAGAATATCTGGAAGCATGTTTTTTTTGGAAGCTGGATTGAATCTGCCCTCACTAATAACCCTCCTGAGCACAGAAAGGCTGAGGTGGCAGCAGAGCCAACAGCAAGCTGCAACCGCCACTGTCCCTGTTGAACTGCTGTCTACAGTGAACACTAACATCAGAACACATTCTTCGGAAGCACCAGGTGACAAACTCCAGGTACTTACTGATTCTTTGCACTTCATTCATTTGAAAGATTGCAAATATTGCAGATTCTACATTGTAGTCTTCCACTTCCAGAATCCGGCTTACTAAATCAATGTCCTGTCGACAAAAGGAGAAAAATAACACTGAAAGGAGTTCAAATCACTGACATACACTCATTTAAAAACCATCTGCACCGCTAAGCGGGGGCTGCTGTCTGCTTTTATGGCCTTTCAACTAGCCTGTATTCCATTTCTGAGAAAGGTGAGGGAGAAAAATCTTAACACCCTGAAGATATCAGGAAAAAGGAATATGCTGTTGCAGCGTAACTGTTTCACTCTTGGCTCTTTCTGTTCTACACATTTGCAGAGCGCAAGCAGCAATCTGTAAGAACCACACGGGCTATCCAGTGACAACAGCTAAGATTCACAGAATAGCTAGTCATTTGGAAAGTTCAACTACAGACACCCTCAAAGGATTTCAAATTTTACAGAATTTGTTTCAAAGTATATTTTCTGAGAGACTGCAAGACAAACCTTCCAAAATTACTAGGCATCCACACCGAGTACGTATTTCATCTGCATTTAAGGGTTAAACCTAGGATGAAAACCATCCTGATTTGTGGCTGTGGTACTGAAATTGTCCAAGATGAATACTTTTTAGGGTTTTTCTCAAGGCTACTTTCATGTATCAAGAAAGTTTGAGCATTAAACATAAAAAAGCTACTCAGTACTTACTGAACATCCAGTTGCATTACACACTTTTTGTATAGCATCTTCCATTTCCACTTCAACCTCATCTTCAGAGTCACCCTTCTGTGGCTTCACTTCCTCCTCCTTATTCAAATCGTTTTTGCAAAGCATCTGCAAGAAAAGCAAAGCCCAGCACATCACACAAGCACATGCAGCGATTTCATCATACACAGTAAAAAAACCCTATCTGACATGATAATAAATTTAATTATTATGGCACACTTTTCTTAGAAATATCCTGTGTCAAAGCATCTTGGAAATGGTGTCACTTGCATCATCATTGACACTGTTTCCCACGACTCGTACACTACTGAGCAAACTCCCACATACCACAAGATCATGCAAACCAATAGACAATCACTGGCTTTTGAAGGGAGGTAATAATTTTTTTACAATGCCACATATTGTCACACATAGTTGTGTGTAGAGAACTTCAAGGACAGCACAGCTTACTCCTTAACACAAAAGAGTGAGATATGAAGAGGACTACTGTATCTGGTGGTTGCTTTTCCATCTCTTTCCTCCCTTCCCTTTGTTTTTGCATTTGAGGTGCAGGAGTGCATAATTTAGATGGGGCTGCCTCAAGACATCGACAGCCCACACCACAGCATCAGATCCAGGATTGATTTTCAGCCCAGTAATTCAAGTGCTTCACAGCCTGTCTCAAGAGAGCAGGCAGCACTAGTTACAATGACCTTAAGGGCTTCTCTATCCCCAGCACGACACAGGGAGCAAACTCTTCTCAATCTCAATGCAAATGAGAAAGGAAATCAACCGGTAACATTCATCTGTTTTATTTATCACTCACAGCTGACTCAGGTTATTCTGTCATAACCAACCTCCATCTGAAGATACGCTGGAGCTTCAGAATCGTCATTGATTCTCCTCACACTGTCGTAGTGCTCTCCGTAACGATATGCAATGTGGAGTTCCCTCACATTGTTTTTGTCTGTGCCCCGAATCTAAGCGAAACAAATAAATTGCAAATGAGGATTTGGAATCAAATTCAGCATCGTATTTTTCAAAGTAGTATTTTTTTTAAGCAATGATAAACACTGTGGTTGGAAGCAAAGTATGTAGCTACTTGAAGCATCTTTAAACAGGAAGAGTTGATCTAATAATCCAGATGTGCCTACAGTAACAACAGAGCTTCTGTCAAGGATAATGTTTGAAAAGCAGATACACAACATTGGGCCAGTTACATCCTAATAAACAAAACACTGAATGAAAATATTTCAGCAGAAAGCTCAAAACTATTTTCTAAACTTGCCACAGGAGCTATTAGTTTTCCGATTATCTTCCCAGATCCAATTTCAGTGACAGCTCCCACTCAGCGTACAATACCTTCTTACCCCCAAACATGAGAAAAAGAGTCTGTTCAAGTTATGACCACAGTGGAAACAGTCACCAGAGTAAGTTTTGTTCTGCAGCTGGGACAAGACGCTGTTTTAACAGTTAGCATTCAAAGCGGATATGTTTTGTTTTTAAAAGAAAGACTAAAAGAAATAAAGTCAAACCATGAAAATGCATTAACTCCATTCAGAAGCACTGTTACCAACCAAATATTCCTTTGCTTTGTCAGCACCAAGTACAGCAGTTTCTGTACAAAATTCCTGCTCTGACTATTATCTGTACTGACGCAAGAATAATTCCTGCCCCGATCATCAGTGTCTCAAACTATTAGCTAAAAGCTACACAGCATTCCAACTCTTACAAGGAATGCAGAAAATTACACTGCATTTGCACATCTCCTTTGCTTACCTGTCATGTCAGGGTTCAAAGATCCCACAGCTTTCCTGGAGAAGACGTCAGTAAGCAAATGACATGAAGTGCTTGCTTTAGGGTTCCAGAATTTCCCAATCCTTTTACGTCTTTGAATCAGCTTATCCCAACTTACAGAATATACACCAAGTCACCTTTCAACCACGTCTGCAGTTTGGGTTGCACTGATGACTTCAGATTTCACAACAGACATTCTCTATTCATCTACTTTACACTTGTTCACCTTTAACTTCCAACTCAACACTTGGTTATACTTGACTCCTGCCTTTTATCCTATTAAGTTGTTCAACATCTTGGAGCTCAGTAAGATTTATTTTCAACATTTCTCCTCTGCCAGAGCCTAAATAGGTATTTAACAAATCCCAAAGCTCTTGAAAGATTATTCTGAAAATTAGCCAATTTAGCTCTCAGTAGTGAAGCCTCTTTTTGCATGCTCTTTCCACAATACACTGGAACTGTAAGTAAAAGATAGCTGCAGATAAAAAAAGGCAAAACCGCTGAAAAAGTGTAAGCAGGTATCCAAAACACCAATGAAATGACTTACACATCTGAGCTAACTTGAAGCTCTACATTTACAGTCACTATCAAAAATAGTAAAGGATGTTTAAAGCAGAGATGTCCACCTCCAATGAGCTTTTAATTAGGCCGGAGCTTGAGAAACAGCTGGAGGTCCTGAACGCTTCCGCTCACATTTTGCCAGCTTAGCTGCAGTGTATACAAACGGTTCTCTTAAAATTAAAGGATAACTCACCATCTGCTTTAGAGTTAGGACCAAAGGAGGTATTCACACCATCTGCTTTAAGCATCTTGCTGATCTGCCTCTCTGGAGATGCTCTCTCTGGAATCTAAAATTTTGCTGGGGCTACAAAGCGGGGGGAGGAAGTATGTAGACGTATAGAAAATTAAGAAGATGGGTGTCAAGGGTTAGTCAAGTCTAGCAACTTGCTAACATTGTCACCGTGTTGTGATCCCCACATTATTTGACGCCCTGGTGTATCCTCTGTGTGGGTCGGAGACTCCTTACGTTACAACTATTAACAGCTCTCTTTACTTACACCCTTCTCAAGAGCCCGAGACAACCTTTCACTAACAAGCCTACACTCAGGCAAAACACAACCTCATCACAAACTCTGTATTTACAGCCCTGGAAGGGTCAATGAATAGGGGAAAAGAGGATATACAAAATATCAATAAGAGTTAAGCACACTGAGGTGAGTATCCGGTTCAAAACAGTAACAGAACATAAACAGCACCCCCATGCACTCTCCTGCAGGGTCACTACCTCTGCATGCTCTCGCAGGTCGAGCAGTTGAGTATTCCCACTCATTTGTATAATTGTCAGATACATGAGGTACACTTTTTTTTTTTTTAAATATGAAGGTTAGCCATCTTACTGCCCACAGACGCCATATAAATAACATTTGAAACTTGTCTGTACTCAGGACCCCACCTGACACCGTTTCAAATGTACTTAAGACACCACTGACAGCTTTCATCTGGTCTTTTATCTTTATTGCCCTGTTTAATCTATATATTTCATTGGTTCTGTCTGTAATTGGGGCCAGAAACAATCCTGACTAAAACACAGGTTCTCACTTGCTCAGTGTCCCGGTTTGAGCAACACAGGACTAAATTCTCTTCTAATACTTAGAAAGACCGCACTTTTAGAAGACTCCAGTGTCTGAATTTGTGAAAATATTTACTTTGTAGCCACCTATAGTGTGTGGGTTTTTAGGCCTCAGTGGTTTTGAGCTTTCCAGGTGCAGGGATGAGGAGGAGCAAGACCCAGGCACTTGACCCAAGCTGGCCAACAGGATTATTTCATACCATGAACGTCACGTTCACTATAAATTAGAAAGTTTGCTGCAAAGTTCGCTCTCTCCCTTGATGGCTGTGATCCTGAGAACTTTGTGCCCTGGTGCTGGACTCCTGAGGCCTTCCCTTCCTCCTGAAGCCATAGCGCTCGCGGTGTCTGACATTTGCTGTGTCCTCCTGGGAGTGCACGGCTTCCTACTGATAGAATTGGCTGAGTATAATCTTTGCATATTCTGCCTTGGTATCAGGATCAATATTGGTTCCTTAATGCTGTTAATGTTAATTATCTAATCTTACTCTATTAAATCTGTTTATACTTCAGCTCCCGGGTTTTCTTGTTTTTCCCCCCCGATTTCCTTTCCTGGGTGGGGAGGGGTCAAGGGGCAGTAGAATGATTGTCTAAAAGACAATAAATTGTTATGTGTTTCTCAAACCAAAACACTCAGTGTGACCACAGCAGAGATCAAGTGCAGACCCATTCCAGTCTGGACCTGCCACAGAAAAACAACAAAAAAGAGAGCAGGCAGGACCTGATGGATTACTTGTTCCAGTAACCCGCTGTCAGAGGAAACCATACACAGTCCTTTCCAGAAGCTAATTTAACATCGCTTTAAGGTTTTAAAACTTCTTCGCTCTTCTGCCCAGTCCAGAACCTCATTTCTTCAACTATGAGAAACCTTCTCATTCCAAATCCCATGCAGAATTGCTGGAGCTTCATTCCAACACATTGCAGGGACTGTCCTGCTGTACTTTCACTTCCATATTCCTGAAGCTTATCGTACAGGTTTCCTTAAGCCTGGCTTAAATTCCTATCAGAAAAGTCACCTCATATGTAGTCTGATCTTCAGGAGAGAGAAATGCATCGATGAAGCTAGTAGCTTAAAACCAAACTAAAACAGGCTGCTCTGCCTCCACATATCTTTCATGCATTCATTGTTTTCTCTCATTCCTTCTCCTCCTAGCTGAAATCTGGAGAGTTTTCCTTCAAGGCTGAAAAAGCAAGCACAGCTTTACACCATGTCCAGCTAACTACGGCTACCGACAGGTCTCTTTTAATGGATCAGGAAGTTTCAACACTACTTGTATTCATCAGCTAAAAATTAGGCCAAAATATAGAACTTTTGTTTCTCACCTGCCACAGTGGAGCATTAAGCTGATGAATAACCACATTCATTTGATTGTTCCTTGCAAAGGCCACAATAGCATCGTTGCCAGCAAAGGTACCAGGCTTTGCCAAATTGGTAACTAAAGGAAAAAACATTCAGAAGAGTTGGAAACCTAGTTTCTGACACTTCCAAAAGCACTGGAGGGATAGCGAGTAACAAAATTTCAACACAAGCCCAAGAAACCCTGGAAAGGAAATCCCAGCTGTGAAACAGTGACTGTTGAGGCAAGAATTTGGCAGCAACAGAAGTTAATGCGTCTTAAATGACCACAGAACTTTCCAAAAAATGCAGTACACCCTTAGATTATGCAAGGCTGTCAGATCTGTGTTAGCTTGGAAGGAACAGTGCCATGTACTAAATGACCAAACCACTTTCATGCATCACCTGCGTGGTACCTGGCACATCCTCAAAGCTGTTAGAACAAAGGCTGTATTGGTCTCTGCTTTGGATCTTCCCCTGGGTTACCATGACGAAATATCAAGTGTCAAGGAGAAAAAGAAACCCACTCAACACCCAGCAGTGTTCAAGGAGAGCAAGGCAATTTTAGCAAGTTCCTTTTGAAAACACCAAATTTTTGCTTCTTGCCTTTTTTTGCCTGTCTTCCCAAGCTTGTCCTAAATTTAAACCATTTCCAAGACAAATTTAATACAAGTTTAATAGCTTATCTTTCTACAGAAACAGAGAGAAATGTAAACTCACTGTTTCTAAAAACTAGAGAGGAGCCCTAACACAGTTCTGGGATGAGGAGCTGTTTAGGAAGAAGGTGCTCAAATGAGACATAATCACATTACACCATAACCCTTCTGTTAGTGTCCTACAGAGACCATACCGTGTTTCTCAAAGGGCACATCATCCTCCACAAAAGGCTCAAAATCCTCTCGCTGCTTGATCATGTAATCCACCGTTTCCTGGCGATGTCTGAGGTGGTTCCGCGAGTGCCCCTCAAGCTGGTCACCCAGGGCCCGAAACAAACAATTGCTACCAAAAGAGAAACTGCAAGTTAGTGTGCCTGAAAGGCAGCTAACAGATACACCATTAAACCAACAACTGGCATAACATCAGAAAGAATACAGTGTTAACAGGAAAGGAAAAGAGCTCTATTCTTTCTACCTATTAAGTTCAACAAGGATATGAATGTGAATTAGCGCATATTCCCTGTGCTTTGAATGGCTGTTGAAATTTGAAGAAATGCTGGAAAGAACGTAAGGTTTTGATTAAACATGTTATCAGCTCCACCGGTGTAAGTCAAGGGTGACAATATCACTGGGCCAAACTGTCTTAAACTGACACTGAGACAAATCATAGAATGGTTTAGGTTGGAAGGGACCTTGAAGATCATCTTGTTCCAACTTCCCTGCCATAGGGAACCCCCCCAGGGGGTTCTAACAGGGACACCCCCACTAGACCAGGCTGCTCAAAGCCCCATCCAGCCTGGCCTTAAACACCTCCAGGGATGGAGCTTCCAAAAATGACATAAGGCAATAAAGGACAACCTAGTGATCTACCAAGCAATTTCTCAGCAGACACATCTAATTCCCCTTTCTCCCAATACTCATGGAGCTTCCTACCACTCAGCAGGCAGTGGAGCCCTCAGCCTCCCTGAGAAACAGGCCTGTGACCAGCAGAGCCCTCAGCCCCAGTGGACACAGGCCCTGCACAACCACAGAGTGGAGCCACCTTATTCCCCTGGGGTACAAGGGGGAAGCCCTCATCCCTGCACAGCACTGGCCCCACTCAACCCCGAGGGGAAAGCCCTCAGCCCCCAGGGATACCGGCTCCCCACCACCCGGGCGAGAAGAAAGCCCTCAGCCCCTGGGGACAGGAAGCCCGTGGAAGCACCGGCCCCGGGGGTGCTGGGGAGACTCGGCGTCGGCGCTCACCCATCGCCCGGCACCTC